AGGCCATTGCCCGTCCCTTTGCTGATAAGCTTGCAGATTACGCTATTGCTAAATTTTCCCGCCAATTTAAGTACCTGTATCGCTACAATAGGATCATTCAAAATTTGAGGACTAAAGTGCAAGATCTCGAAAATAAGAGAAATGATGTGCAAGATTCAGTGGATGAAGCAAAAAGAAATGCGTTAGTTATTAAATCAGAGGTGGATGCATGGCTGAAAAAGGTTGATGATTTAAAGAAAGAGGCTGATGAAGTTTTGAACAGCACAACAAATTCTGAAATGCAATGCCTATGCCTTGGGTGTCCAAATATGAAGACCCGTTACTCGCTGAGCAAGAATGCCACAAAGAAGATTGCTGCAATTGATAAGCTCCTAGAAGGTAAATTTGAAGAGGTGGGCAAGCGTGCACCGCTAAAGTCGTTGTCTTACCATGGCTTTGAGGATTTGAAGACAAGGATATCAAAAAAGAGGGATATCACGAAAGCTCTGGAGGACACTGCTATCAGCATAGTTGGGATATGTGGCCTGCCTGGGGTAGGTAAGACGACAATGGCAACGGAAGTAATGACTCAAGTACTCAAAGATAAATTATTTGATGACGTTTCCATGGCAGTTGTTTCTAAGGATGTAGACATAATAAGAATTCAGGATAAACTTGCTGATATGCTCGGTTTCGAATTTAAAGAAAAGACCAATGAAATTGCTAGAGCTGGAAGACTTAAAGAAAGACTTGCTCAGAATAATAAAAAGAGAATTCTTGTAATATTAGATGACCTATGGACAGACATTAATTTGGAAACATTAGGAATTTCTTCATTAAATCGTCCCGAGGGGTTGAAGATTCTCTTGACATCTCGCTTTGAACAAGTCTGCATAGGGATGGGAGCTCTGACGAACATTAAAGTTGAAGCTTTGGATAGCAATGAAGCTTTTGCATTTTTTGAAAACATTTCAAAGATTTCTAATGATGATACTCAACTGTTGGAAATAGCAAAACAAGTTGCAGAAGAGTGTAAAGGTTTACCTCTTGCACTTGAGGTTGTTGGCAAAACACTAATAAACAGTGAACTATATGCATGGGAGGATGCACTTAATCAACTACGGAATTCTCAACTTGAAGATAAGGTATACTCAAGTATAGAGTTGAGCTACAACAATTTGAAAAGTGATGAACACAGATCCTTGCTTTTGCTATGCTCTCTTTTCCCTGAAGATGAGAGCATTCCAATTGAAAGTTTGGTTAGATATGCAAGGGGGCTAGAACTGTTTAAAAATACAAAGACATTATTGCAAACCAGAAATCGGACACACACAATCTCTGATAATCTAAAAGGTTGTCATTTGTTACTACCAGGTTATACGGAGGAGGGGGTCAAATTGCATGATGTTATCAGAGATTTTTGCTTATCGATTGCATCTAAAGGTGAACATTGGTATATGGTGAAACATGATTTAGTGACAGAGTGGCCAGAACATAATGCCCATGAATCCTACAGTGCAATCTCACTAACATTTCAAGAGGCGATTAGGCTGACCAGCAGGTTACGGTGTGGGAACCTCAAGTTATTACGGATGCAATGTCGTTGGGGAGTAAGAAAAGTTGACATACCAGAAAATTTTTTGGTTGATACGCAGGAACTTGCAGTTATTGATTTCTTTAGACTTCAAATTCTATCACCAATCCAACTGTCGAAGGGTCTTCGAACTTTGTGCTTGAACGGCTGTGTTTTAGGGATTGGAATGTCATTCTTTGGAAGTCTAAAGAATTTGGAAATTCTCACCCTTTTTCTTTCTTCTCTCCCTGTTGATTTTTCCCGTGATGAAGTGGTAGAACTTAGCAACCTAAAGTTACTGGATTTGAGGTTTTTGGAAGGTCCATGTCCACTTCCCCCTGGTTTTTTGTTGGGTATGAAGAAACTAGAAGAGTTGTACTTGGGAGATTACTTCGACATAAGATATGAAGAAAAAGAGCACATTATCCAAGAGGTAAGTTCATTGAAGGCTCTCAACAGTCTTCAGATTGTCACAGATGATACTAATTTTCTGATGCAATTATTACAAGGGTGCTCTGAGAAGCTGGAAAAATTTCAAATCAGCCAACATCACCCATTTCTCCCTGAACATTTCCGAAGGTTCTTGTCTCTCGAGAATATTGACCCAAACATGCTTTCGGAACCTGGAATTAAGTCATTAATGAGAAAAAGTGAAAAACTCTCTCTGTCAGTGAAAGGCTGGAACAATCCTGTCATTGAGTTAGCTGAAGATGGTTTCATTAACTTGAAGAGTTTGACGCTAAAACTTTTGGATTCCGAGTATCTTATCAATGCTGCAGGATCCATTCCAAGTGACATCTTCCGCAATTTGGAATCTCTGGAAATGATCGAAATGAGTAGGCTGAAAGAGATTTGCAATGTAAATTTTCCAAGGGTGGAACATGTGACGAGGGGTGTCTCGGAAAGACTGTTCCATAACCTCAAGTCTATTTACGCAAGTGATTGTGATATAATGAAAATAATGTTTTGTGAGTCAGTTGCAAAATGCTTGGTTAATCTCGAAAAGCTAATCATACATTCATGTCCGTTGTTAGAAGTTGTTTCAGTGGACACACAAGAAAATGAAATTACCGAACCGCTTTCCTTCCCAAATCTGAAAGTAGTCCAGCTTCGAGATTTGAAGAGTTTCGTAAACTTCAGATCTCAACCAAATGCAGTTGGTCTTCGTCAAACATTGCTCAACAAGGTAATATATACACACATTCCTTTTGTGTGCTTGCATCAATTCTGGAGAATAAGGGAAATTAGGAAAACTTGTGTTAACTTCATTTATTTATAATTCCATATTCCATACTAGGATAGATAATTTGGTCTATAGTAAAATCAATTAGAGTCAGTTTTTGTAGAATGGCTTAGCTTTTCTTAATCCTTGTAATTATTGTCTTGTAGATGAAGTTTTAACTTTGGCTGACACTATTAACTGAATTTCACAGGTTACACTGCCCAACATGGAGAAGTTGACTATTTGCGGGTTGGGTAGCATAGAAAAGATACTAAGCGTGGAGGAAACGCCATCGGGATCTCCAGATAGATTATGGGGCATGGAAGTGGAAAATTGTGATAATCTGGTCAACATTGCACGATCCAATTCTATTAAACTATTGAAAAATCTTGAAACTCTTGTAGTAGTGGGCGGTGGGGCACTAAATGTAATATTTGACTTTGAGGGTCTAAATGTTAATAAAGACAATGAAGAAGAAATTAGTATACTTGGTCAACTAAAATCATTGGCCTTGAGAAACGGAGATTACTTGGTGCACATTACGAGGATGGTTCCTAAAGGAATCCGTGTCTTCCAGAATCTGAAACAGCTTGAAGTTGAAAATTGTGGCAGGTTGAGGTACTTATTCTCGGCTTCTATGATTAACTCGTTTGTGTGTTTAGAAACTCTGTACGTCCGTTCTTGTGACGAAATTGAAGAAATCTTTGGAAGAGAAGAAGAAGAAGGAATGGCTAGCAATATTGTGTTCCGTGAATTGAGGAGTATAAAACTAATGGATCTTCCAAGATTCAAAATGTTTTGCTCTCATAATTATGAACTCGTGTTCCCTTCACTTGATCTATTGAGAATTGTAAATTGTCCGGAGGGGACAAAATTTTGTTCGGGACAGTTAAATGCTCCAAAGCTAAAGGAAGTACAGATAGAAAACTACGAAGTATTGACATTTCCAATTTCCCTAGATTGTGATGCAGGTATGTGGGTTTTCTTCCATTTTACATAATTTACTCTTAACATATATGCTATAATTACATTGACTGATAAATTAATATGCTCTGTTTTTAAGGTTCCGTCCACAATCCACCTTCAAGTAGCGATTGTGAATAGAAGACATGAGAGAGTATGATTATGGAGAATGAAGTGTCCGTGTCCGCCATCCACCTTCTAGTCGATTTTTTACACATTTAGCTCGAAGTCACGTCTCCTCCTAAATATGTACTATTTTTATTTTCGTTCTCAATAAATCATGTCACAATTTAGTGGTTAAATTGTTAAGCATTTGAAATGACCCAAATCTATAATCTTCGTAAAGCGAGTTATTTTTTATATGCCTCTAAATTTCATAAAAATTCTATATAAGGTCGTTAATGAGAAGTTGAGATCTTCATTTTGGAATGAGTTCAAGCACAAGAAAGTAATCAGCAATTTAAGTACAAATTACCATGTATTTTAATTTTAATTTCATTCCTTTTGTTGCTAAATGTAAAGGTTTATGATTGTTATCTTTTATTTTCCTTAGCATAGAGCTGAGCCTAGTTGAAGATTAATATAAAAATAGAATGGTTAAGCTATTGCAGCCTCAGTTTGATCCAAGTCGAGACATTTTTAGTTCAACTATCCAAATCAAATTTATAAAAAGTTGAAAGGTACGAGTAAGAGCTGTAATATCAAATCCCCCACTTGCCATCGAGGACGAGTGATAAGGCCATGATATGTAGTTTTCATTTACACTTTCTTATATCTCGATAACAAATTAGATGCACCTAACTCTTAAATCACAAGTAGTGCCTTAGCATCCACTACTTTTTTGTTCCTAAGATGCAAATTAATTCTTCACCCACTTTGTATTAATTGTTTCCCTCTTGTTTATATATTTAAATAGTAAAACGTTACCAACCCAAAATCCTAACAGACGACCACCAAACCAAGCTAATCATCTTTGACCTTTCTTAGGCTTTCACCTACAAATTACAAAATCACCCTAAAAGATAAAAGAGGAAATAAAGTTGTCATTACTTTGAGTGTCATTTTTAATGACAAAGCTGATTTGTTGATGGTATCGTTAATTAATGTTAGGATGTGACTCAAATTCTATATGATTTGAAAGTTTGATTTATGGAGGAAACCTAGATAATATTGGTTTGAAGGTTCGATTTGATAAATGATTAAATTTTATCATGGATTGAAAGTTTGATTGATAAAATTTTTTTGGAATGGATGAAAAAAGTGTTTTCGAAGCATTTGACACAATGCAATGGAGCCAGCATGGTTGCAAGAGGTCACGGATTGGGCAACGCGGTGCTAGCCCCAAGACGCTACAACGCCCATCAAGAGGCAAGGTCGGCACCTCGGCGTTGGGTGAGTGGCGCTGCGGCAGCGCCACTGGACAAGAGAGAAGGACTCCTTGTTGATTTCTACCGTGTTTTTTTGTGCTTTACTTTATCCATAATTCTAAGATTTGGTTCTAATATATACTTCACATGGTGTATGCTCTTAAACAACTCAAAATAACAATTATATCATTGTTGTATATATTAAAAACTTGAGAAAATTTTTTAGATTTAGATTAAGAGTATCAAATCTTCTAAAACAATTTTAGCTTCTAGGTATAGTAAATTTTACTCTTCTTCCACATAATCTTGATTGTTGTGTGATCAATTATTTTTCATATTACTCATATTATTCTATTATTTAATTATTTAACCAGATTATCAACAAATTGGTAGCAGAGTTGAAGGTATTTTGGCGAGTTCTTGGGAGATCGACATTGGATATTAAAGTGAGGTTGAAGCATTGTCAATTGTTTCAAGGATGACAACTATGAAATTTGAGATTCTCTTTTGAATCGTAACATTAAATTCTCTTTGTGGCAGAGCTCAATTAAATCTTAATGATGCTTTGTTCGGGATAGATGAAATTTATATATAGTAAAGCTTTGTTTGACAACTATTATTTTAAAAGTAATTCTATTTAACGCCATTTGTGTTAAAACATCAATTTAGGTGGTACTAATCTACTATATCTAAAAGACTCATCTTCCAAAACACTATTCACAAGCCTAATGGCCATGTAAGCCGCCGTTCTTGAGCCAATCCATTTTTTAGCCGAGCCGCCAAAAGGGTAGATATTTTCTCAACTTCCTTCTCTCTCCATTATTTTACACGCAAACTCTCTCTCTCTCGACATTTCTCTCTCTCCCCCACTCTCTTCTCTCCCCCCTTCTCTCTTTCTCGCGATTTATGGAGTAGAAACTCTAACAAATTCCAATATTTCTCTCTACCGTCTCCCCTTTTGAAACCCTAACAAATTCCACAGCTTTCTCTCTATTGTCTCTCATTTCCCTTTTCGTTTTTTTTTTTTAGGTTATGTTGGTGTTTAACGCATACTGGCAGCCAGCAATTGTGAAAATTGAATCTCAATCCCTCCATTTTCCCTTGAAGTCTTGCACGTCATACCCGGCGGTCCCATCGTCCTAGCCCCTAACCCTGTTGTCGTCCGCCGACTATGCCTAACCTCTCCGTCACTGTCCTTCGCAGTTTCCTGTTGTGAGTCTGCTCGATTGCTCCTCTATTTTATTTTTTGTTTTTGTTCTTTCAGAGTGTAGTTAATTTTTTGATTTATTATTTATGTTTNAATCCTGTTGTCGTCCGCCGACTACGCCTAAGCTGCTGTTGCGAGTCTGCTCGATTGCTCCTCTATTTTATTTTTTGTTTTTGTTCTTTCAGAGTTTAGGTAATTTTTTTGATTTATTATTTATGTTTATGATTTATGGATGTATTTGTGAATTGTGAGCCTGTAGTATTTACTGTGAGGATTTTGAATTTTGTAAATTTGAAACTTGGGGATTGTGTGAATTCGAGAATTTAAGAATATTGGAAAAATTATGGCAGAATGTTGAGGTTTATAATTAATGAAATTTGAGAATCTTTAATATATGTGGACTGTGAATTTTGTTTTTTCTTCTTGTCTTGCTACTCAAATCTTGAAATTAAATCAAAATTGAGTAAAGAAACAGGTTGATGTTACCTATGAAAATGGGGTTTGCAGAAATTTTCTAATTTGATGTTTCAATGAACATGAAAATGGGCAGAAAACTCTCTGACTTTTCCTCTGGCGTGAGAATCAGTATATATTGTAGAGAAGCTTTGTAAAAGTTGCAAGAATTAATCTAAGAAGCAAATACTTTCATCCTTTAAGCCTATATGTAGAGTTTACATTGATGACATAGTCTAAAATTCAAACTATTGTTGTATTTCAAACCGTAGAATGTGAAAGGAGTTGTGCTTTTATTCATTTCGAAAAGTGTGGAAGAATTTAGGAAATAGTTTACGATTGTTAAGATACATGAAATGAAACTTTAGTGAAAAGTAACATATTAAATGAGTTCGACTTCTACCACCCCATATAAGGCTGGTCGAGGTTGACCCGTTGCACATGGGGTTTGTCGACACTTTGACTAGCCTCTCAAACGTCTTTTGCAGACACCCCTCTGCACTTTGTCTATAGAGGTGGCTGTCTTTTGTCTGTCATTGATGGGAATTAACTTTCCCAATTTCCTTAAGGAAGCGCACAGATGAATAACATATAATCATGTGCTGAGACTTGATGCATATTTTTATTTGAAGTGTGTGCTTTTGTATTAAGCTTCTACAGACTTTTGGGAAATGGATAATTATATACCAAATATATGATAGGAGACCGAGACAAATACTTTAATCATGAATATGAATGAGAATTTGAGACATTTCTTTAAACTTTTTTTATCATATTGAATTCATTTGTATTTATTCGTTTCCAATTTACACATTTAACTGTAATATGGTTTTTCCAAAATATTTATATATTCTTTGTATCCATAAGTTACTCAAGAAGTTAAAGCATGGAATAAGCTATTGATGTTGTATAAATTGAGCAATGTGACAAAGTAATATCAAATGCACCCGGCCTCAAGCCTTTTGTATTAGGTCCGTCCCTGGTTAGGGTTCTTACAAATGAAGAAAACAAAATGCTTATTTGAACTTCTTTACCACTAATCCCAATCAATGCATTCTATTTTACAAATTTTTGAAAATTATCCTATTCGTGTATCTTATTGCCTTTAAAAGTAACTGTTATTTTTTGGCTAATTATTATCCTATTTCTAGAGACTTGATAGACCCCACAGAGTTGTTTTCTTTCAAAAATCATATATTTTTTACTTTAATTAA